GACTCAAGTTCTATTTGGGACAACTACAATTGTTTAAATAAGCTAGTTGTGAAGCTGTTGTTGCTGTTACATTTTTTTTTTTTTTTTTTTGTTTTTTTTTTTTTCTTTTTTTTTTTTTTTTTTTTTTTGGGAAAAAAAGTCAGACAACAGTTTTGTAGTAGTCACCGCATATAGCTAGCCATGACGGGAAAACACAAATTTCAGCTGCAACTTTTCAAAAAAGCAAGCACCGCACTGCGGCCCCAAACGCACCCTCAAACTCTTTGTTAACAATAGAAACATGGGTTCCTGGATTCCCTAAAGCTTCTATTTAGGTCACTATTATCCATTCACAATCAAATGATTATTTCTAGATTTATTGAACACGTAACTCCTCTTGTCTAATGGAATTTTTTGTCAGTGGGTTGGAGAAATTTTACGATCCATAATTGATGAAGGTGATTCGAAGACATGGCCATTGATATCAAGAGACAAAGAGTCACCGCAAGGAACATAAAAAATGAGCCATTAAGTCAGACACCGAATCCAAGAAGGCATTCACATCATCAGATCCTCTATTTTTTGATTGTTGGTTCATTTTTTTAATTTCTTTCTTATTTCTTGGATGAGGGGCTACCTAGGGATATTCATTTAAAACTGCCAGTAGGTTGGAGGAATGCTTCAAGCCAAATGTGTGTGAATCCTGTTGGTTTCTCATGAGTTTACCATGAGTGGCTTTACATTGACAAAATGCGAAACTAATCTATCTGTGAAAGGGTTGGAGTAGCTTTAGTGAAAAACAAGATTAGAGAGAGTCGCCTTAGATAGCTTGGTAACATTAAATATTGATCATATGATGGCCCTATTAGGAGAGTTGATGTTTTTTAATTGAATGTTAAGAAAGATTGAGATATATCCAAAAAGACTTGGGCATGTTGCATAAAAATTATCTTAATGTATTAGAATTAAATGAAAATATAATACTCAATAAGACAAAATGAAGAGAAATGATCATGTATAGAACTCCATGCAGTGGGACAAGACAATCCGGTTTTAGGGCAAGCTTAGTATGGTTATTTTAGAACAGATTTTAGCGTGATTGGAAGCTTGTTTCTTGTTTATTTCCTTGATTTAAAAATTATTTCGGTGCTTACTGCAATCTATAATAGAATTTTTCCTTGTTTAGTCGTGCTCTTAGGTTACCTATTCTTGTAATCCTGAAGGTAAATTGCTAAGTTTTAAAACAAACCTTTTTGCCTCTTCTTCCATTTCCAGCTCATTGCGTTGTATTCTTTGCCTTTCTGCTTCTCCTTTCACAATTTTTACCTTAAGTAACCATGACAAACTCAAATGGAAATGCGGTTTTACATAGGAAAACAATGAATTTAAAGAAGAGAATAGTAATGTAATACCTGTTCTTGCAATGCATTAACTGTGCATTCAAGCTCTTCAATTGATCTCTCTAACAGCTTAACCTCCTCTTCTTTGACTTGAGCATACGATCTTCTTTCTTCTGCAATCTGCGTGAAATTGTGAAAGATAGCCAATTGAGAAAAGATATAATAAAAACCATTGAGACGTGCATAGTTTTTGGTATTTGCACCTGTCGGGCTTCTATTGCAACAACTTTATTTACTACAGCAAGGGATTCTGCCAATTTAAGCTTTTCTTTCAAAATAGACACCTGAGATTCAAGTTGTTCTTTCGAATGTGTGCTTACTGTCATCTCATTCTGGAACTCCTCAAAAACATTACTTCTTTCGCTAAGCGAATCATGCAGCTTTTTTTGCAAAATTGCAGAACTCATTTTATCCTCCAACTCTTCTTGTAGATTTCGATTGAGAGTCTTCACCTCATGAAGCATCCTTGTCATATGTTCTAATTGTAACTTCAGCTGCTCATTTTCCATCAATAGCTTCCTTTGTGGAGATTCTGTTTCCACAGCTTCATTTTTTTTAGCAATGGATTTCGCTAATTTCAACTTCTCTTTTAAAGTGTATGCCTCAAATTCAAACTTTTCTTTCTCATGTGCAATTCTGGACATGTCCTTCTGCACCTCCTCAACAAGAACATCTCTTTGCCCAATCAAGATACTTGCATCAAGCAATTCTTTCTTTAACCTCTCCAAAGCGATTGTTTTCACATTATTTGATTCTTTGCATACTACTTCATATTTTCGTTGGAGTTCCTCAAGCCCCATTGACATCTCCATTAATGTTAATTTCAGCTCCTCATTCTCCATCACCTGATTCTCCAGCTGCTCAGCAACGATGAATTTATTTTGTTCAACAAGGATCAACTTCTCTTTTAAAGTGTATGCCTCAGATTCAAATTCGTCTTTCTCGTGTGCAATTTTGGACATGTCCTTTTGCAACTCCACAACAAGAACTTCTCTTTGCCCAATCAATATACATGCATCAAGCAATTCTTTCTTTAACCTCTCCATAGCTATGGTTTTCATATTATCCGATTCTTTGCACACTACATATTTGCTCCGGAGTTCCTCGAGCATCATTGACATCCCCATTAATCTTAGTTTCAGCTCCTCATTCTCCATCAACTGATTCTCAAGCTGCTCAGCGGCAATGGCTTTATTTTCTTCAACAAGGATCAATTTCTCAGTCAAGGTAGACACATGAGATTCAAGTTTATCATTTTCATGTTTGAAGCAACATATTTCTTTCTGCAGGTCCTCATAAAGCTGTTTTTTCTGATCAAGCACCATTGACATCTCCATTAGTCTTAATTTCAACTCCTCATTCTCCATCGACTGATTCTCCACCTGCTCAGCAGCAATCGATTTATTTACTTCAACAAGGATCAACTTCTCAGTCAAGGTAGACACATTAGATTCAAGTTTATCCTTTTCATATCTGATGCAATACATTTCTTTCTGCAAATCCTCAAGAAGATGTTTTTTCTGATCAAGCAAATTATGCATGGTAATAAGGCAGTATAATCAGATAACTGCATATCAAAGAATGCTATTGTATAACTCCCTTCTAACAGTAATACCAAATTTTCAAATATAGAGTGATCACAAAGAAAAAGAAAATAAAGAACTTGGCAATGAGAGTCACAGTTGGTTGACATAGTCCTTACTGTTAGCTAACATATTAATTAAGCTTTGTTTTATGAGGGCTGAAAAATGGCAGATAAGATGACAATGGTTGGATTAAAGCTATTGACATGATCATAAAACTCATAAAGGCAAAAAATCTTCCAACATAATAAAAAATAATCCAGAGAGCTAAATTAACGAGTGTCTTTACCTCCTTTTCTTTCCTCCACAAGCAATTAAATGCCACTGAATTCCCCTCAAATGTTTGCAGTTTTTCTTCTAATTGGAGCAGCTTAAATTCAAACTCTTTTTCCTTATTAAGAATCTTTGAATACAACCAATGAACTTCAGTCGTCAGACCTTTGATGCTATTGTGGCTGCACAACATGGACTTCTTAATATCTTCTTTCTCATCAAACATTTCAGCCATTTGACACTGGACCTCCTTTAAGCTTTGAAGAGCTGATTCTATTTCCTTTCTTAAAATTTCTATAGTTTCCTCCCTCTCAAGTATGTCTTCGGGCAATTGTTTGTAAGATTTATTCATTTTTTTGGTAGAATAATTCTCAATGATACACTGCATGCTTTCAGCATTCTTTTGCTCATCATTGTGAGTATCTTGACTAGATCCAATGTTAGACTGCAACATTGCCACGCTATAAGTAAAAAAATTTGAAGAATGCTATTCATTTACTTGAAAAAGAGTCAATGTCATAAATAAAAGAAATAACAAAAAAAGTAAAAGCAGTGATCCAGGTTTATTCGCTTGTTTATTAAGGAAAGGGGAATTAGCTTACCTGGTTATCAGCATACTCATGCATACAAGATTTCAGTGTACTCATTTGCATTTGAAATTCTCGAAGCTTTATCTTTGCTTCTACAAGACCACAAGAAGAATCTGGAGTAGTGATGTTTCCCTCCTCGTTCTTCGAACTGGTATCTAAATAATCGTCTTTCCAGTGTTCTAGAGAAGTGGCATGTTGATAATTTTGCTCTACCAGTGCTCTTTGATCTTGACAACCTTTGCCTTCATTGGGTAGTAAAGAAGCATGCCCTTGTATGATGTCATCTTTTTGCGGAATAGTACTTTCAGATTCTCTAAGCTGCAAGTTGGCCTCATCCAATGCTTGAAGATGAATCTTATTTATCTCATATAATTTCTTCCCAATAATGAAAAAAATTGCAGCGCATATCTCAGCTTTCCTAACTTTTCTTACAGCATCCTCAACTTTGTCTTCTAATTCAGATATGATAGATGTTTTCTCGACCAATAGTGAAGTTAAATGGAGAATTCTGCTTTCTTTGTCAGAATTTTCTTGCTGTTGTGCTTCAGTAATAGCCAGTATTGCTCCTCTCAAGGTCATCAATTTTGACTCCATATCATGCCTTACATAACAAACATCTTCCAAATTCTTCTGTAGTTCTTCAATTAAAGAATCTCTTTTAGAGATTCCCATAATGATTTTTCCAAATTGCTCAGTGATCCAACTTTTGTTAGAGCAAATATCAGAAATAGAAGCTGCCTCATGAGTGGCATTATCGAGTTGTGTCTTTCCGTTCTCAAGAAGATCTAAAATTTCAATGGCTAGTTGCTCCCAATGTTCCATGATTGAACTCGCATTCTGCTCTTTCTCTTCAGTTAATTTGGCAAGCCTTATATTTTCTAGAGTTAACAAATAGAGTTTATCATCTTGCTCCTTTTTCTCCTTTTCAAGATCCATTAAGCGTTGTTTGGCCAACAATTCATTTTTGTTGCATTCATCAACTATATGATTAACTATGGTGAGCTCCTCTTGCAGGCAGACAATAACTTCAGCAGTTTCAGCTTCAACTTGCCTACGAACTTCATCCATTTCTCTTTCACTGGATGAGTGAGATGCCTGGTCACTTTGACACCTTATGTTCAGGTTCCAAGCTTTTTCTAGAGAAGCTTGCACTCTTTTCAGTTTATCCTGAAAAGGAGAAGAACACTCACTTTCAGAGTAATCTTCTCTCAATATTTCATGAGCAATAATAGATTTTCTGTTTCCAACATCAATGCGCAAAGCAAGCTGTTTCTTAATTGTGGAGATCTGTTGCTCCTGTATCTTCACAGTATCCGCAAATCGAATGTTATTCTCTCTCAGTTCCTCAAGTTCATTAATCGAAAGCATTTGTTGGGATTCAAGGGCTTCAATGACAGACCTTGTGTCCTTCAATTTGTTTGTTGTTGCATCATATTCCTTACTTATCCGCAGGAGCTTATCATTTGTGATGCTTAGCTCAGTTTCTGAAAGAATTGCTCTTTTTTCTGCCTCAACGCGAGATGATTTCTCTACTGCAATAATTGTCTTCAGTCTGCCTAGCTCTTGTTCCAGATTCAAAACTTCTTCAGCATGCTTTGTGCTACATGAACAAGGCACTTTTTCGGGAGAAGCCAAACAAAGATCCTGAAAGGAGAAAGAGAATTTGAGTTAACATCAACAAAAGGTGAATAATATTCCACCCAACTTTTTGCCAAACAAAAATTTTTGGTGCCACCCAAAAGATCATCCTCCACCATTAAGGAAAAGCAATCCTTGTTCCACCAATTTGGTACACTACATCTACTTCTAAAGCTACAAACAACTTTGCTCTATCTTAGGAATTCAATTTAAAAGCAATCAATAGGTGTTTTGCAAAACATAAAGGGTTTGTTCGGGGTTGGCTGCATTTTTTTATAAAAAATGTTTATAAAGTTGGGGTGGAGAAAGAAACTTATTAGAAAGTAGCTTCCTGACACAAAAATTTATAAAAACAACAAAAAATCAATTCCTTAAACAAAGTTGTGGCGGCGGTCTGAAACGCAAAGCAAGTAGAAAACTATCCCAAATAGACTCCAAGTCTACATATAGACTAGATGAAAAAATCTAGTGGTCTCAATTTATTATAATGTCCCTAAAGAGTAAGAGAAGGCCCAATGTTTACAGGCTTAGGCAATGTTGATTCCGTGAGACTTTATCTCTGTTAGTAATTAATTAATGAAGTTGATTCAGTGAGACTTGATCTCTTTTAGCTATTAATTCATGTTTTGGAGATCAAAGCACCATCCATACTCAAAGGAATTGAACAAGCATGATGTCAAAAGTAAGATGAGGAGCAAAAATCCATTAAAATCAGGAAAGAAATCGGAGACGAGAACAATGACAACTTTAAAAGCCGGAGGGATCGAGAATGATGGGCCCAACTTAAGTGTGAGTATAGGAAAATTCAAATATTATGAGTTGTTGTTGAAAGAGAGTGAGAAGATGAAGCCAAAAGTGCATGAGAATCAGTGCAAGTGAGGGTGTACAGAGGATCACAGCCAAGCATCAAAGTTGATACAAGCAAACCCAAAGATCCAGCATGCACTCGAAAGCACAAGGCACATGGAAGTAAGGTAGACTAGGAAAGCATAAGAGGACCATCCAATTTAAGTGTCTATACAAGATATATTCTATTTTTCATAAAATTAAAACGCTTAATTGAACTCAATCATTAATTGATAGGCAATCAAGTGAAAACAAAACCTAAAGCAAAAAAAAGACGAACCTGAGCATTAATGTCAGACTTTAGTTTCCCATCAAGGAAATGTGCAAGCTGAACATAAAAGTGAATAAAATCAATATCTTGTGTTAATTTAAGGAAAGTTTTCATTGCAACAAAGTAACCAAGCTCACATAATCTAAACCAGTTGCATTCACCTGATTTCGCAACTCAAATAATTCAGTTAATAAAAGGCCTCTTTCTTCTTTGTCATAGAAATCCCGAAACCTATAAAAAATTTATTAATTAAGAGAGTCAATCAGTTTAAAAGGATTACATCCTCAGCAAGAGCTACAAGGCGTACTTCCTCAGTTCTTCTAAGAGTCTTATATTTTCCGAGGCAAAACGAGTTACTTCAGGATTTCTATCAATCTTTGTTCGAAGCAATTTTATTTCTTCAGATAAAGCATTATTCTCCTCACGTAGATAGGATTCTGATGGAATCAGTCCATTCAAAAGTGCTTCCATCCTATAAATTTTATCTTCTCGAAATTTGATCATCATTTTCGAACATTGAGAGTCTTCTTCTCTTTGACGAACCTGCCAACAAAAATGGAGAAACAAACTTTTAACACCCAAACTAGTTCTGCATTAAAACCTCAGCATGTTAATGGTTGATCCTTATCAATTTAAAAATGATCACCAGGCGGTTGAGCTGCTCAATTTCTGCTTCAAGTTGCCTCATGGAAATGGCAGCCATTTTTTCTCTTCGAAATGCACCAGCTAACAATGCTTCAAATGATTTCAACTGCCAAAGAAAAAAAGAGTATATTTTCATAGAAAACGGATGGAGGAAAATAAGAACCTAACTCTACACACAATCAACTACAACAAAATTTATTGAAGAAAAATAACACCATGAGTTGTGTTAGAAAAGGATGCTAGCATATAAAATGATATTTTTCATACTATATAAAAAGATAATTTTGATACTATATAGGTCATCTGAAATAACAAATTTTATGTGCAAACGCTATCTGAACATACGTTAATTCTTTGTAATACAACAATATGTGCCTATACACAAACAAAATTAGAGGAAAATAAAATATTAAAAAATAAATATAAAAAATAAAAATAAATATAAAAAATAAGAAATATCATTAATAATAAACTATGAAGCACAAACATTTTAAAACCTTTTTTGTATGTGTATTAGGGTCTGTTTGAGACTACTACAACTTATTAATAAGCTGTTGGCAGGAAGTTGTTGCGGAAAAGCTCGTTGTCTTAATTATTTTTTTACAGTTTGAAACCTATTGTGTTGCATCTATTTATGGACAAATGATCATTCTACTCATGTATTGTAATGTTGTTTGCAACATAATTGTTCATACTAGTACATTCCATGTTTGAAAGCAAATATTCAGTGTAGAACATCACAAAGTAAATATAAAGACACGTCACTAAACAATGACACAATGAGAACACACATTGGTGAATATTTTATTGAAGTAGATGTTGATGTTAGTAGTGATGATTGTCATAATGCCAAATAATAATAAATATGCTAGTGGAATTTTTTTTGGAAAGAATATTTTTTTGTCATTTTATGGACATGCTAATGTTGTATTAGCATAGTCATGCATAATGATTAATATTAGTGTTAGCATGTTGTTGATGATTGAGTAAAGCTGATAAATAATCTACAATTCATAAAAGAATTGAATATGATTGTAGTTAAAAGCAGTATTTTTTTAAGTTTTATGTCATATGTATTATATTAAAATTCATTTTGTAATATATATAAACATTAGGTATTTTGAGTCCATTTATAAATTAATAATTTGTAAAAATAATATCATGTCAATGTGATCTTCTGCCCTAATTTTTGCATGTAAGTCTTGTCACCATGCTTGTGTTGTGTCATGTATGTCTAGTGCTGATACACATCAACATGATCAAGATACACAACAATGATAAAATGTATTTTTAATTATATTTTACTCATGATGGCGAGGTTTCATTGATGAGGATTAGTGATGATGAGTGTGTCAATAAATTAGTGGTACATCAATACATTCAATTGAATTTGGCAATTTTGTTGTGGACAATGTAATGTTGGCATAACCATGCATAATAATTAATGTTAATATTAGTGTTATTGATAATTAAGCACAATTATTTTGTTATTAGTCCGCAAGTCTATGTAAAATAGTGTTATTTGAATAGTTTGTTTGAGACGCACAAATGCACATAATAGTTTAACTACATTTGTAAATAGGCATACTTTTAATGGTATGCATGTAATTCCCCATAATAAATAGTGCAAATTTCTCATAAACAATTAGCACATGTGATAATTTAGATAAAATAACAGTCCCCTCCATAAATAATTAGATTCTCCTTAATAAAAAATTACACCATCTCCTTGTATATCAAAACAAGTGAGCATAGAAAGATGCGACTTGAGCTTGGAAATAAAGTGATATAAGATGAAATAGTTGAATGACTTGCTAACCATAGGTTGTTAGTGATAAAAAAGAAGCGTGACTAATTTGTGAAAGAGAGCACGAATTAAACGCAAAAATATCAATAATATGATACACATCAAAGAACGCATGAATAAGATCCTTAAATTGATCTATTGGATGAGAGTTTAAACAACTCTTTTGGTAATGTTTGATGAAGAAGTCAACGTAGTAAGAATAAAAATAAAAAAAACACAATCAATGCTTGAGAATAGAGATGATTTACAAGATACTGAGAAAGAGTCTGAGCATCGATGACAACTTGTATATATTGGTTGATGCACTTGTGGAGAGTAGTATGTAGGCATTGTGAGCATTGTGGGGATTGTGTGAGAAGAGTAAGGAGCAGAAATGATTGCATGCAATTTTATAATAAGGACAAAGATAAAGATTCTAATCGGCTGCAACACAAAGCTTAAATGGATTGCATATGATGATGATTGACAGAGAATTGGAAAGGACTGCATATTTTCTATTGTCTTCTTAGTATAAGATATATATATATTGATGATGATGATGATTGTGGTGGTGATGACGATGATGATGATTGTGATGATGACGCTGATGATGGTGGTGGTGGATGATGGTAGCTTTTATGACTTGATAATTTAGATCTTGTAGTAATTTGTCTGCTCATCTTTGACATGGTAATAGAATTAAACAACACAAATTCAAACCGTCTTGTCCCCCTTTCTTTCCCCGAAAAGTATTTGCAGCAGAAAGTTGTTTTGGGATAACCACTACAAAGCAAAATGACTTGCATGTGAGATGATTTATTAGAAGATAAAAATCATACTGGGCACTTCCACAAAATCGAGCCAATTGGCATGTTAACAAATGCTAATAATAATATCATTCATTTTGATAACTAAACCTCAAACAATTGCAAATAGTTAGCAGAGTTCATACAGTATTTCTTTAACGTGCACATAACAAGACAAAGACACTTCCTCAGTAAAAATAAGCCAAAATTGAGTAGCAAGTCCGAAGAATTGTGCAACGTACCTGCTTATTTAAAACATTAACATCCTGCAATTCTTCATTGTCGGGGATCTGGTTAAACTCGGATAGAATTCCAGGCAATTTTTTAGGAGAATTAGCATCATAGTCAGCCTTTTCAAGAGTTTTCGTATGAAAAGATAATGATCTCGAGATGTTTTGCTGCTTGAGCATGGAGAGCTCCTCCTGATACACAAGTTAATTTTAAACTTTTGTTTATTAATAAGAAAAAAAAGCACTTCCAATTGTGAAAATAATAAATTTGTTATGTGCTCTGCATAAACCTTTAACAAATGTATTTGATGTTGTAAGGCGAAGACATCACCCGAAGCATTTTCATTCACAACAGCCTAAATTTGCAGCGATAAAGCATCAAATATGCACCACATCAAATATGAACTAAGAAATTTTATTCTAAAAAAATATTGGTATTAAAAAATAACAGGCACCAATTAGAATCACTACATTGTTCTGAATAACTTTCGCACGCTGGGCAAATTTAAGAGTGCTTAACGTTTCATTTGCTGAGCTGCAAGGTAACAAAGATAAATGTCAATTACATTGACACGCATGCAGTGAACAATATAGATACAATTATAAAAGAAAAATACATTGCATACCATATAGAAGGACTGACATTTGCAATGATCATTGTTTTTGAATTTCCACCAAGAGAATCCTACATCACAGACATTAGTAAAAAACTAATGAATAAAACAGAAAAATTGCATGAAACTAATTCACAGTCAACTCAAAACTAATTCTGACTTGAAGAAGAAATGTCAGTCTCGAATCTCTGTAAGGAACATGTCTTTGCCTTCCATTTGCTAAATCTGCTAAAACCATTATTACATGCCTGCAAATCCAATAAATTCTCAAACAATGCTAATTATTAAAAATAAATAAAGTTCTATGTACAAATGAAAGAAAAATAAATGCATCCTACATAAAATTATTGCATACCCAAGTGTTGATAATTTGAAGCCTCCTTTAAGCGCCTCCTTTAAGCGAACCCCTTCAGCACCTGATGTTTTTTGCCTGTTTAGCAGACATAAAATAAATCAGAACATAGTTACTTGATGACTCTTTATGAATCAAGAGAAAAGCATATCGAGAAAGTACCTTGTAGATCCTGCAAGATCCACGAGGTTCAACCTTGCAAAATGCAATGTACTTGTTGAATCTTTTTGCCATCTGCTCTCTATGGTGCAAGTGAATACACTATGAGAACGACTGCTTTCACGATTCATCATTGTTGCTGCTACTTTCCTATTTGCAGCACCCTGAGACGTGGTTGGCTTGCTTTTTACTGATCTTTTTTAAAATGAGATTTGAATAAAAAGTAAATAAATACCTGAATAAGAAGTTGCAAAATGTCATAAACATTTTCAACTTCAACTTCGAAAAGGTTTTCAACATAAACTCCCTTTTGCGGATCTTCTCGAATCTGTCAATCACAATGTGATGTCGTAGAATGATTAGCGAGAAGGAAAAAAAAAATCAAAGATGAAAAAAAAAATTAATGTAGACATTTTAATGTTAGAAAAAAAATTAAACGAAATACAATTAGGAAACAAAAAAAAAATAAACGAAATACAATCAGGAAACAAAAACTGAAATATGTCAGAACCTACAAGCAAGTTAGTGGAGGAAGGGTTGAGAAGATCAGAAATTTGTTCATTATAAATCTCCAAAAATGAACACTTGCAAGTGTATTTAAGTTTTTCATCCCTCCTGCTCTCTTCCTCCTATAAATTGAGAATAAAAACGTAAGCTAGAAAATATATATTGATAAAATGACAGTGATATTTAGGCATTTCACCGCTTTAATCCGTGCAAACAAGAATTCAAAAATTCGTGGTGTCATTCCTCGGTTTGTACTCGATCTGATTTCCAGATCATTAATTTCTCCAAGCATTGTATGTGTCTTCCCACTTCCAGTCTATAACCACAATAAAACATCAAAATCATGCAGATTGAGACTCAAGCACGCAAATAATATATAATAAAAAATAACATAGTATGAGTTTTCAAATTGGCTCTAACACCTAAACTTAATTTTTTACATTTATAACATTCAAATCTTTCAAATCACATAAAAAATACCACTATTTTAACTTTTAAAAAGTAAAATACACCTTTCATGCATAGGTAAGAATATTAAAATTCCAATACTTTATCTACTTCAAATGAAATTTTAATTCTAAAGATTATGAATAGTACTTGTCCATAAGCAAACACACAACTGTTATATCCAGACATGCAATTTTCAACCATTGGAAGTCCAGCTACTCGAAACAGCATCTCCTGCATACCACAGATGTTTTATACCAAAGATGGAGAAAATAGTGGCCGCTACCACACAAAAACGTAAGAAAAAGGAAAACATTTAGTAGAAAACCTGATTGACAGTTTCACATGCTATATAATCAAACAAAAATCGAGTCTCTGATTGTCCAATCCATGTGATGCTTTGTGCACTTTCCTGCTTTATGCATCTACTGTAACCTTGTTGACTTCTCTCTACGATGTTGATAGGACGAACCCGAATCACAACCTACGTAGATAAAAACACTTAGGTTCAACATTATCAACGAATCAATCCCTACCTTCTAAACATAATGGACTCAACTAAAAGTTGTGTTTTGTATTCTATGAACTCCATTTTGCAATCAATAACTAGTTTTGTGTTTTGTATTGTATCCAGTTTGTAATCAACCAGTAACTCATTGTATAGAAAAAGCATTTTCCCTTTCAAGCAATGGAGAACAGAAAATAATTTTGATCAAATTCCAGGGAGCTGTAATGCAAAAAAAAACTAATGAAGTTCAATTGACAATTTTAAATAATTCATGTATCCTAATTCTTACTATTGTTTAGTTTCCTTGCAGCTTAATAAGCTAGAAGACTTTTTCTACAAAAAAAAAAAAAAAAAAAAAAAAAAAGTGGTTATTGAAATGAGGCCAGAAAAACAATTTGTACCTGTACATTGTGATCCATCCAAAAGGAGGGATCCTCCTTGAGCTCAAAATGTGGCACTTCTACCGATGCATAAACAAGTAGAGGTGCAGATGACAATGGTATCCCTTTAGATGATACCGAAAAATTCATAGTCTTGGCTGTTCCACCACACTGTGGAGCACGAGAGTTGCTAACCCCATTGATCATGGGCTTAGAAACACTCTTGGTGGGCGTGCTTTGCGTCGAGCTTGTACCAGAATGAACCGATGAGGCTCTCCCACCCGTTGCTATAGAGCGAGGAGTAGCAGCACTGTAACCATTCCCGAAGCGCAGCGCATGGTTTGCCATAAGAGGTGGTGGGGGCGGCAACTGGAATTGTCCCTGATGGAGCGAATACTCCCTTCGCTCCGGAGAAGCCAATCCGGCCTGTTCGACAAACGGAACCCATCCAAACCTGCTCTTGCTCGCCGGCAATTTATCCGGCGTGCGTGACTGGGACTGTAAGAACTGATCCGACCCTTTCACTTGGCTCTTGGAAGGGGTTTTCTCGCTCTTTCTCCTTAAATGTGTTTCTTGATCCAGTCCGGACTTACGGTTTCGCTCGGGTTCTTGAATGGCGCTAAAAGGAAGTCTTGATGGATCCGCACCCTGCTGAGATGCAGATGAAACGGTCTGCTCTAGTGGAAGATTCTTGGTGGAAGATTCTCGTTGTTTGCGTCGGTGGTAGGGTTCTTCCCGGAGTTCCGCCGGAAGAATTTAAACTCCCTTAACATTCTGATAAGTTTCCTCCAGATAAGAGAAAACATGGAAAACATGAGGATCAACAAAAAGGAAGTCGTGAAGAAGGGAAAATCGGGCTGAGAAATCAACGGATGATGGAAAGAGATAATAACCTGAAAGATTTAGTGAATAGTAGAATCCGAAGTCGAGAAATCCTGAACTATCTGTTTCCCGATCAAAGAGCTGATCAGTTTCCTAGGTTTTCGCCGTTCGGATAGTGGATAATCAAGTGTGAAGGTTTGAAACTAGAGGATCTGAACGGTGCTGATTTGTCGAATGTTTGAAAGCTGACGGCAGACAATAACGACGCGCTGCAAAGGTTCGAATTTCATCCCTATGCCGAAGAGGTCGCGTGGCAACAACGGCTAGTCTGGAAAATTTTGAAATTTTGGAACGTTGCGGAGATCCTATTTCATGGCTGATTTGAATGTAATTATGCAAATTTGCTTTAAATAGTTGTAAGCTGGGGGTCATTATATCTGGAAATTAATTAATAAGATGTGGACGAAATATTCGTACATCCAATGTGGCATAATCCATTTATCATAAGAAGATCATGATTATATCATAAATTAATATATTTGCATAAGAGTGTGAATGATTACATGCTTTAATTATTTTAAATTGAGTGGAGCTCTCCATTTATTGAATAAGTCTTTAGTTTTAAAAAAACAATGAACATAAAAAAGTATATGTGCGGTAAGCCTTCTATAAATCTAACTTTAGTTATGCATGCTTGCACTGTGAAGGTATTTATGTAAGCCAAAATGCAAATCTAGTTATTCTACTCTTTACCAATCATACATATGACCTTCATATTGTACATTTAACTAGGCTAGTAATATCTAATGATATAAACCTATACGATACACTATTTAATGAACAACTAAGCCCTCCCATCATTGTTCGTCTATCATAATTTGCAAGTTATTATCGGATGATCTCTATCAGGGACCCAAATCTAATTTTGACCCAAATCTAAGATTTGACATGGTAGGGGCTACTTTATGAGTTCATGGACTATTGACTTCATCATTTGATTATTGATAGATTGATTGCTTGACTTAATAGAGTATCTAAACCTTCCATACTTGCATTATAACCATTAATGAAAGAGAAAGAGAGGAGACCAAAACTTTAGTTCAATCTTTTTTAGATTTTATCCATTTCAAATTGAAAAGTGGTTGATCTCATTTCTACGACTTCATGATAATTCAAGTTTTCATTAATTATTCCATTATTGATAAAGTTTAAACAAATTATAATTATTCATTTTTAATTTCTATTGAGATATTACTTTCCATATATTTTTTATGATGGCAATGTGAAATTAATTCTTTTATCTTTGGAAAAAATTACGGAAATACATAATTTTATTAATCATCTTAATGGTTATAATGTGAAAAAAATTATACTTCATTTTTTAGATGATAGACATAGCCTGCTTTCATTCTATAAATGAAATAACATTTCTTATTAAATTTGCATTGAAATAACTAATCTAGTTGTGTATCAATTTCATAGCCAATTCATTTGGATTTGAAAATATCAACTTCACTAATTAAGATTATCATCAACGACACCCGATCAATCATGTGTGTTGTTCATTCTTTATTTGGGTCCTCCCCATTTTGAGGTGTTCAAAAAAGTGAGTTGGTAGTTCGGTTTTGTTTAGTGGTTTTAGTTTTTTTTGGCATATTTTTGTTTTATTTTCTTTTAGCCATTTTATGTTATTTGGATTAAGCCTTACTTACAACTATATTATAAATTAAAATAAAAAAAATCATAAATTTAAGTCTCATAAAAATCACTAAATTATTGCTTACTTGTACGCTAGATTGTCTTTTTAGAGTAACGAAGGATGCATTAGAAGTATGAAGTTGGGTTTGCGAGTCATGTTCACATTTGACCAAAAAATTGACTCCAGCCAAAATAGCTTGGCCCAAACCAAACCCATGTATTATACGAGTCAAAAAGTTCATCAAATAACAGGCACCAATTAGAA